TCTATGCTTATTTTTGGTGTTGCGTTCACGCATCTTAATATAATAACATAATATTTTATTTATTATTCCTCTCCTGTACACACAGCTCCCGCAGCCAATCAGCAGCAGCCACTCCTTCCTCTGGATCGGCCGCCCGCCTCAGCTCCACCCAGGCACCCACCACACCTGTAACCCCTGCTGCTACCTCCACCAGCTCGCCCACGGTGACCCCCACCACCCCTGCTGCCCAGACTCCCTCCATGCCTGCGGGACCCTCCTCCAGCACGCAGCCCATCCAGCTGAGTGACCTCCAGAGCATCCTGGCCACCATGAACGTGCCTGCCTTGGCTGCAGAGGGGCCGGGAGGTGAGACACTGACAACTGATGTACCTCTGATGCGATTTTCACCCACTTTTCCCATCCTCTAATACGTTGTCCATTGCTCCTCTGCAGTGGACTTGGCGAGTGTGTTGACCCCTGATGTCATGGCTCCTATTCTGGCTAACTCTGAAGTGCAGCAGAGACTGCTGCCATACCTGCCGTCAGGAGAATCGCTCCCGCAGAGCGCTGAAGAGATCCAGAACACACTGACCTCTCCACAGTTTCAGCAGGTCACACTCATGCTCATAATGCACTGAAATGAAGGGCTGTCCCAGTATAGTGTTATTGATGATAACCGTATTATGTTCAAATTCTGGGTATGATTGTTATATTGTGCTCCAAACTGAATCTAATGGGATTCACCAAAATTGCACTATGAAAGAAAAAAAAAACAGAAAACCTTTAACACTGTGGCACTGTTTGGTCATTTTTGACCAAAAAATATTTATTTATTTATTTAAGAATTTCGTAATTAATCAGAATGATATGAAACTTGGTAAAGGTTTTGGCACAATACAAAAAAGTATGGACATGATTTGAAAAGGTTAAATGGTCCAGAAAAAAAGTCACACTTGAACTGTTTGTGGTCAAAAATGACGCATTGGAAATGAATGGGAAGTGAATTTCATCTAGTGGAAATGTTTGGTACTGCACCCAAACAAAATCTAATGGCACTTTCCACTGTGTGGTACGACTCGGCTCGGTTTGCTTTTCCACTGCACATTAGTACCACTTTAAAGTGGGTGGGACTATAGACTGATCGTTATAGTTGCGCCGCCACCTCGTCTACTGACCACAATACAGCCATTCCTTTTTTCAAGTTGTGTGCGACGGTTGTTTAAAGCAGTTTAAAAAAGTAGTGCGAACAAATGATACTGCGGTGGCTGTTGCTGACTATTTAAATCTAGCAGGTTTGGTGTCTTGTGTCGCAAATCCAATGACGCTGGTAGTGACAATTTTCTCTGATCTGCAGTGTTCACACGTCACATTTTAGTATCGGTACGGCTCGCTTGGAACCTTAACCAAGGTGGTACTAAAACAAGTGCCCGGCACTAGGTACTGTACACAGTGGAAAACCCCCCAATAGTGAGCCGTACCATGCAGTGGAAAAGTGCCATAACTGAAAGCTCATTTTTTTTGAGAGATCAACCTCAGATTTGGAACAAAACTTTAGATTTATGGCTTTGGTTTTTCACTCCGTTTAAGGGTAAAAATAGTATTTTTGTGTATTTTTCATAGTAGTAAACTTCTTTTTTTATTTCACTTTTAAACTTTTCACTTCAGCAATAATCTACCAAGTGTCTTCTCTAAAAACAAACTCAAGTCTGTGCTCCGAAGCATTCAAGATTTGCGATAGTTTAAGTTAGATATTTAATTTTCAGATTTGTGCTCAAAAATGGTCAACAGGTAATAAATGAATCATAACAATATAAATATAATTTAGTACCATAAAATCCCCTTAAAATAAAAAAATAAAAATAAAAAAAATAAAAATTTGAAATAACATGTGACCCTGGAGCACAAAACCAGTCTTAAGTCTCTGGGGTATATTTGTAGCAATAGCCAACAATACATTGTATGGGTCAAAATTATCGATTTTTCTTTTATGCCAAAAATCATTAGGATATTAAGTAAAGATCATGTTCCATGAAGATATTTAGTAGATTTCTTACTGTAAATATATTAAAACTTAATTTTTGATTAGTAATATGCATTGCTAAGAACTTCATTTGGACAACTTTAAAGGCGATTTTCTCAATATTTTGATTTTTTTTGCACCCTCAGATTCCAGATTTTCAAATAGTTGTATCTCTGCCAAATATTGTCCTATCCTAACAAACCATACATCAATGAAAAGCTTATTATTATTCAGCTTTCAGATGATGTATAAATCTCAGTTTTTCGAAAAATTGACCCTTATGATTGGTTTTGTGGTCCAGGGTCACATATAATACATTAATTTCACTGAAGAAGAAAAAAAAAAAAGACCATTCTGCTAAATGTTGCATGAAAACTTTGCTTGGCAGAAGAATTATGTCATCAATCAATTAACACTTAGTTGTGTGTTTATTTTATGAAACCTTGCCAGGCATATGTAGTGATTTACAAAAGCAATTTGTGGGAATCTCCATAAATATTTGCCTTGGGCTTGTTGATATAATATTCTGCTTTGATGTAAACATGCCGTGTGTCTATATCTGTGCAGGCGATGAGTATGTTCAGCAGTGCTCTGGCCTCTGGTCAGCTCGGCCCTCTCATGAACCAGTTTGGTCTGCCCTCTGAAGCAGTGGATGCAGCTAATAAAGGAGGTGAGATGTGCAACACGTACATCAATCAGCATACAAGTTCAATTCAAATTTATATGCATATCTTAAGTTCAAGTTTTCATCATTTGTAATAACTGTTTCAATGTTCCGTACCCCCAAGCACTCATTTGCTTTGTCCTGGTGTTTAGATGTGGAGGCGTTTGCCAAGGCCATGGAGGGCAGTGATAGCAAGAAAGATGACGGCGATTCCAAAGACAAGAAAGATGATGACGAGGACATGAGCTTGGATTAGAACAACCTTCTGAACACAGTCGTCTCTCTGAGGTGTGTCTCATGCTAGTCTGGGTTGTTTGCCTGTACTCCTTCATTGATTCTCGTATGTGTTTTGTATGTCCAACGCTACACTATTAAACAAATAGTGAGTAAAATGTGACATGAAACATGAAAGAAATGTTTATTGCCAATAAAAATACAGCTGAGGAAATCCGACAAAATATCAAAAGTGACAAAAATAATTTTTCTCGAGTTTTCAACTCCAGTGATTTCAGATGATACACAATGAATCCCTATGGCACATGAAAACATGGATCCACATTAAATTGCCCTCCAGTGTTTTTATACAACTAAATACTCCCATAAAACCCATTTAATGGTGTTTGGTCATGATTGTATCAATGAAATGTACTAATTAAACAACCTGGAACGATATGAATCCAGTGCCAATCCATCTCTATATTCCGCTGGTCCCTGCAGTTCTGAACATTATAGTTTATCAGTGGTGTCTCATCACTTACAGTGCTTTTTAATAAAATTACATACACAGGTGTCATGAAGGTAAACATAAATACTGGTTTAAATTAAACGCTAAGCAAACCCACCACCTGTTGATTTGATAGTGTGAGCGTATGCAGGGTTAATGCAGCTGTGGTCTATAAGGCAGGGCAGCCCTGAGTCCCCACAGATCCAGACACTGACAGGGGTTTTGACAGCACGACAGGCCTGTGGTTCAGTACGGTTTTCCTCACACATCCGTGGAAAGAGAGGACGGTGGACGGGAGACCTGGGACCACTATAGTATCTGCACACCAGAGGACAACAGGCTTATGTCAACACGGATTATCGCTCCTCAGTCGTTCACATTTCAATGTAAGATTTTGATTCATTTAGCTTAATCGATAGGTACGTAGGAAAAAAAACTTTGAAACAAAAGAATAAATCCTGCACACTATCAGCATTTGCAAATGCATCAAAATATAAATTTATTCACTCACTCAGTAAATTATATAAAGTGTGGACAGTGTGCGGGATTTATTCTTTTCTGTTTTAAGGTTCATTTTAGTTTTAAAAATGATCATGCTTGATTTGCCAGCTGCATGTTCTCTGTCAGGAATTATAAATGTTGATTTGGTAGCGTTCAGATGTCATACCTGGCACGCCGCCCAGATAAACGGTCTCTTTGCCCCCGCTCGACCGGCTCTGTTTGGGACCCACTCCATGTTCACTCGTCGCATCCACATGTAGCTGGATGACATTGCTCTTCTTCACAACTAAAATCATTATATATATTATATCAACATTCAAGTGTGAAATTATATGGCAAATACATTGCTTATGAAGTATCTATATATTTTAATCCTTCTGTTCTGTTCTGTTCAGGTCAGGTTTAGAACCAGATGAAAAGTAAAAAAAAAAAAAAAGATGGACAACAAAGTATTTGAATTTTTTACTGCAATTAAGTACATTTTTCAAGTGTCTGTATTTTATCAGAGTATTTTTATTTTGGGAAACTTTCACAATATTATGCTTTGGAATGTAGTGAAGGAAAAGCTAAAGTTACTAATGCTTTGTAACTAAAAGTTACCAAGAAAATTTACTAATGCTGAATTTTAGTATTGATTACTGTAAGTATTACTGTAATTAGGTCATGACTGTCAGTTATTTGTGAACTGAATCTGCTGTAAGAAGCCAAGCTGTTTAAGCCCACTGAAATGCTTGACTATTACTAAAATGACTTTTAGATAACACAAATTACTTCTCATGCATCTTCCCACTTTCAAACAATTTATAAAATTAGTATGTTTGCATAGCTTTCCTTTTAAAATGTTAAAGGGACATAAGGGACATGATAAAAAGTTATTAAGAACAATGTTGGTATCCAAACTCAATGGATACCAACAACTTTTTGGATACCCGCATAATTCAGAATAACGGTGTTCAACAGAAGAAAGATACTCACGCAGGGTTGAAACAAGATGAGTGTGAGTAACTGGGTGAACTAACCCCATTTGACCTCTTTCTAAGTATTTTTATACTGTTGTCTGCCACAATTGGTTTCCCCCTTATTTCTAAAATACTAGATGGCATATTATTTCACTTGTTTGCACACTTGAATTATCAGTGTAACTTAAATTGAGATTTTAGTATACTTAAGTTTGTTTTGATAGTGTATAAAAACGGTTTGCTAATAAAATTGGCAGATAAATATTTAAAGACTGAGTAATGACTAGGGCTGAACGATTAATTGCATTTGCGATATCGCGATATGAAAAAACAAGATTTTTCAATCGCAGAGACTGCGATTACACTCGGTCACGTGACACGTGAGAGTAAAGAGGTGTGTTCGACTTGAAGATCAAAAAAAAAAAAAAGATGGACAACAAAGTATTTGAATTTTTTACTGCAATTAAGTACATTTTTCAAGTGTCTGTATTTTATCAGAGTATTTTTATTTTGGGAAACTTTCACAATATTATGCTTTGGAATGTAGTGAAGGAAAAGCTAAAGTTACTAATGCTTTGTAACTAAAAGTTACCAAGAAAATTTACTAATGCTGAATTTTAGTATTGATTACTGTAAGTTACTTTAGTATTGATTACTGTAAGTTACTGTAAGTATTACTGTAATTAGGTCATGACTGTCAGTTATTTGTGAACTGAATCTGCTGTAAGAAGCCAAGCTGTTTAAGCCCACTGAAATGCTTGACTATTACTAAAATGACTTTTAGATAACACAAATTACTTCTCATGCATCTTCCCACAGTTTCAAACAATTTATAAAATTAGTATGTTTGCATAGCTTTCCTTTTAAAATGTTAAAGGGACATAAGGGACATGATAAAAAGTTATTAAGAACAATGTTGGTATCCAAACTCAATGGATACCAACAACTTTTTGGATACCCGCATAATTCAGAATAACGGTGTTCAACAGAAGAAAGATACTCACGCAGGGTTGAAACAACATGAGTGCGAGTAACTGGGTGAACTAACCCCATTTGACCTCTTTCTAAGTATTTTTATACTGTTGTCTGCCACAATTGGTTATCCCCCTTATTTCTAAAATACTAGATGGCATATTATTTCACTTGTTTGCACACTTGAATTATCAGTGTAACTTAAATTGAGATTTTAGTATACTTAAGTTTGTTTTGATAGTGTATAAAAACGGTTTGCTAATAAAATTGGCAGATAAATATTTAAAGACTGAGTAATGACTAGGGCTGAACGATTAATTGCATTTGCGATATCGCGATATGAAAAAACAGGTTTGCTAATAAAATTGGCAGATAAATATTTAAAGTCTGAGTAATGACTAGGGCTGAACGATTAATTGCATTTGCGATAATATCGCGATATGAAAAAACCTTTGTCACCTGGCCCTGGTTCAGATAGAGACTCAGCTGTTGAGTTTTCTTGGCTCCAGTGTGCAGCAGGAGCCCAGAGTCTGAAACCAGACGGACCTCCAAAAGGATCTCGAGGTCCCGGCCTAACACCAGCGATTCGTCTAGCATGAGAGAGAGAGGCGCACTAAACAAGGTGTGTTGTCCACCATCTTTGTGAATGAAATCTGAAGTGTGTCTGATCTGATGGTTTGATTGATGGCTCACCGATGGTCAGATATCCTCCCTGACTGGAGAAGTAAACCCCGGGCTGGAGGGGCTGCTTGTAGCAGGGTGTCACTCCCACACTGTGAGAGGGGCTCTGTGCCAGGACCTCGTTCAGCTTCAGATCCCGCACACAGCCAACGAAACCAACCTGAAAGAGAGAAACGGACAGAAAGAAAAGTCACATCACATCACGAAGGTATATCTCTGTGAATATGTTCAGATCTGTACAATCTCGGTTCCACAGTGAGCTGCCCAAAAAAACAGCTTTTTAGAGTCTCATGAGTGCACTCCTGAACTGAAGGCGGCTCCGAACTTCATTATGCTGCCTTCTACAAAATCATTAAATATATCCTTAATGGAAAAAATCCTGACCTATAATATTCAAAATAAAACTTGACTTCTCAAACTTCCTTGAGGTTTATTCTGTATATTCACCAACAGATGCGATTAAAATATCCACTTTATTATTAAAAAAATAATATTAATAAAAAGATTTTATGCATATTTGGAATATGATTTCATACTAGCAAAATAATATTATATTAAAACAATATAATATTCAAAATAAAAAAGCATGTTCTTATTACAATATTATGATTAAATATTAACAAAATAATACAATATTAAACAATATAATATTCACAATAAAATAAACATATTTATGTTCTTACTAAAACAATGTGGTAACTTGACATTTTTTTTTTTACAATAAAATAAAATAACCTTTGTGTATATCATTTAATATGAAAAATACAACAGTAAAAATAGTTCAAGCTAATTAAAAAAAGAGATCTCTGTGTGTGCTTATTAGAGTATCGCATTATTAGAATAGCAACATACTGACATCAAAATTATTGTGAATCGAGTCTCTTGTTTGCTTTGCATTATTTAGTAAAATTTTTGTAAAAGTTTGTAAAATATAACACGGTGGATCAAGACCTGTATTTCAAATAAAATAAAAATAGCAATAAAATAGTTCAATGTAATTAAAAAGGTTTTTTTTTTTCGTGCTAACATCAAACTCCTATTAAAATACTATGATTATTTAGTAAATAAAAATATATAATATTAATAGAAATATATATGTATATATGTGTGTGTGTGTGTTCTTAAAATAAAATATGATTATTTTGATTAAAATGTAATAAAATAAAACATGGTGGTCGGAGACCTGCATTTCAATGAAAATGAAAAAATGCAACAACAAAAAAAAACCGGTCAATCCAATTAAAAAGAGATGATCTTATCCAACATTTGTGCGTACTTATTAAAGTATCGCACTGTTAGCTTAGCAGCTAACATCAGCCTAATGTTCGCTTTGCAATATTTGTGTGACCCGTTGAGTTGTTGCCCATGTTGATTATTTCACTTCAGTCACTGTGTGAAGCAGAAAACAGCATGGCACTTGGCTCCAGTGTGCAGCAGGAGCCCAGAGTCTGAAACCAGACGGACCTCCAAAAGGATCTCGAGGTCCCGGCCTAACACCAGCGATTCGTCTAGCATGAGAGAGAGAGAGGCACACTAAACAAGGTGTGTTGTCGGCAGTTCAATCGTTTTGAACATGGTATGTGTAAGACAGTGTTTACCATAGCTGCACTGTGGTCTGAGGGAAGTCCACCGATATAGAGAGGAGCAGCAAACACGCTCTTCCCTCCGCCCGTCACCCTCTTCCTCTGCGTCTCGATGCCATCCACCGTCAGAGATGCCCTGTCAGCCTCCACTCGTACAAACACCTGCACCAGTTCATTGTGAAAATAAGAGATATGGAAACAAAAAATCACAAATTTGTCTAAAAACATGTCTGACCCACATACGAACCGTGTGCCACAGGCCGTCGTTGTATTTCTTTTTGCTGCGTATGCTGGTCTTCTTCTTTCCGCCGTTGACTATCAGCATCAGATGGCCATCAATCACAGAGAGCGTCATGATCCTCTGGCTCTTCCCTCCCGCCACGTGGAAAATCAGTCCACTCGAGGAGTTCACACGCACACCCACAGAGATGTGTGGCCTGCAGACGCAGTTTAAAACAGGTATGTCATTTTGGCTGCTATTAGTGACTTTTTTTGGTCAGTACTACATATATTATAATGATTCTCATGCTAATTTCCCATTTTTTATATATTTAGATTACCTTCGCTGTCATCTAACACTCACTTAAAAGTTTAATTGTTAAAATCATTAATAATTTAAGAACACTGTTAAATGTAATCTCAAAATAAATATCAATTTTTCATACTGTACAATATAATGTTGTGATGCCTAATTTCAGTTGATGCCTAATTTTATTTTTTCATACAACATAGTACAGAATTTTAATATCAGCCATTTATCGGTTATCAGCCATAACATGTAAATAATTATTGACTTATTGGTTTACAGTGTTTTTTTGCTTTTTTTTAATACTCACGCCTTGCTAAACGCTTGAGGCAGCGAATCAAATCTCAGGTGGCTGTGGGAGGAGCCACTGAAATGATGAGCGTCATCCTCCTGGGCGGACATCTCACCCTGACAGGACTCACGTGCCATTCGACTTCTCCAACTTCCATGAGGCTTATTCTGTACAATCGCAAACAGACACAAATTTCATTAAAATAATGTTATTTGATATTAAGAAAATAATATGATATTAAAAAGAAACCCTTTATGTGTTAATGGAAATCGATTTCATACTACAAATAATATAATATTAAAACGACATAATATTCGAAATAAACAACATTTATGTGTTGTTATTAAAATAATACAATGATTTTAAATTTGTAATTTTATTTTATTTAAAAACAAACAAACAAACAAAGTTATTTATTTATTTAAAAAAATAAATAATATAACATAACATATAAAATAAAATAGTACCTTTGGATTCTTTCTCCGTGGTGAGTCCAGTATTTCCAATGGGACTCGTGACCTAACCCTTTAAGCGGGGTTATTTTAGCATGTTTACAGTAATAACAATTCTAAAAACGATCATTTGCTATGAACTATTTCAATTTGTTCCTTTGCTTTGTTACATATTTTAACAAAGTGTCTAGTCAAGTAATATTGGCATGGCCTAAATAATATTTCTTAAGCTAAAGGCTTGGGTATACTCACACAGACGTTATTTGTTAAAAATAAATTTGCTATACTGTTTGCAATTATTATACAAATGTAATGGACTGAGTGAAGAAATGAACTGGAAATGATGTTTGCATCAAAGTAAGCGGTCACACCCATCTTGGACTAAAGGCAGTTAGAAAGTGTTTCTGTTTCTGTTTTCAGAGCAACTAAATAAACTTTCGTATCGGCCAGATTTCATTAGAAATGACATAATGCAACATTGTTCTTACGGTTACGAGGAAATGGAAGTAGAGACAGATCTTTTCTTGTATATTGTGACGCACATCTCCATTACAATGGCTTATCAAACAAAGAAAAGGGTTTAAGTGGACTAACTGACTGAAGAAATCATAAAAAAAATATGCAATAAAAAAAAATAAAACATGCATGGATGAATTGTTCACAATAAGATCAACATGCATTTAGAAAATAGATCCACTTTGTTTGAAGATTTTTCTTGAAGTACATCAGGGCCTTTACCATAGCAGGATTCGTTACTTCACACCCTGGACTCTGGAGGCCTCGTTTTTCACAATGAACTAAGTGCGAATGCAAGTATATTCCCTCATCGTACACAGATGTTCCAGAATCATTAGCATTATTTGAATGTAGATTCCCAACCTAAAGAAACAAGTATGAAGACGCTCACCAGCAGGTCATCTGGACAGCCATAGCTGATCCCTGCACTCTTCATGGTCTTCATTTGAACAAAGCTTTTCATGGCCTTAACGGTCCTGAAGCAGCCCTTTATGGAGCCGCGTTTATGAAACACACTCTTTAAACTGAAATGACATTCACGGATAGTTAATTCTACCTCAGATCACCAACCCTGCATCTAATATCTCTGTGGAAATATCTGCATGGTCACCTCTCGGGCATCTGATCCTCTGGCACTCCGCCCAGGAAATATCGTCCCGTGAAGTTGAGCTCTCTGCTGGAAAGCGTGTAGATCTTCTGACGATCTAGCCTCACTAGCATTTCATTTTTCGAAAGTTGAAAGATAACATCCAACTGAAAACAACAAGCACAGAAAACATTAAAATAAATCAACCTTACAGAGATAAGCAGATATGCGAGAAATTTCTGGAATAAATAGAAGGTTTTACTCACAAATTTCACTTGTGCATTACTGATTTTAATATTTGACTCTTGTTGTGGGTCAGTTAAGTTGGACAACCGTCCATCAAGGTTATGTAGGACTTTAAGAAGACCGTCTTGCACAGCTACGCACACATAGTTATCCTGAGAAGGGAAAAGAATGACATTAACACCATAACCTGCGTCAAAAAATCACAAATCCTACGTTTTGCAGGCCACGTCTCACCTGTCTTTGGAACAACAGGAGAATGCCGTTTTGCGAGATGAGTTTGATATGCTGCTCAAACACACGGTCGTCCTTCAGAGTTTCGAACAAAACCTCAACATAGCCCGAACCATCAAAATACACTCCGTTAACTAGCCACTCAGGCGTATTTGCTGGCCTCTTCCTGTTTAAACACAGGAAGCGATTTGACAAGGAACGCACTCTCGCAAAGAGGTTAACACAGATTATATGATTTAATAAATAATAAATTAAACCCCTCTGACCGTGAACAAGGGAGGTCAGTTATGGTGTTCATTTGCAAGTTTTGCTCGAAGTTATAGAGGCTGACTAGTTCTTCATTTAGACTTAATAACTCCAGGCAGCCCTTGAAGAAGTTAGGAGACGTGATGTTCAGATCCATTGGAGGCTGTGTGTTTGAGAGAAAGAGAGTGCGAAATTGTGAAATGTTTTGGAAAATCCACCAATATTATAATTATGGATAATTAAAAAATAGCTCATAATTATTTTCAATCAATAAATGGCCAATTGTAAAATTCTATACCAGTTCAGTTTTGGTCACCTTTGGCTTGCTCATTTGGGTTTAAAAGACAATTAAAATGGAGTAATATTATTGATATGACTGCACTGACACCATCAACTGACACTTGAATCAAATTTGTTTCATAATTGATGAACTTTGCAACACTGACAATGCTACAGAACTGAATTAAATCAACATTGAACTGATCACACTATTGTCTTCTGTAGAGTTGCTTTACAGCTGAAACTGAATTGTGAAATGAAGAATTGTGCAACATTACTTTTCTATTTATTAGTGTGAAGCTGCTTTGAAACAAATCAAAGTCAAAAGTGCCCACTCCTAAGTGTTTAAGATATCCTGCTCCATAGACAGGGGTTTTGTGTTACTCACAGTGAAATTGGTGGGATAAGCTCCGACATAAAACACAGTCTCTTTGGCAGGTAAGTTGAGCAGGCCTTTTTCTCCTCCTGCCTCCATGCTTTGCTTAACTATATTTATTTCTTCTGAATCTAGGGACATTGCCATCTGACCGTACTGTAGAGTCCTGCACACAAATACAGTAGAAGTAGAGTAAATACAGCTGGAAAATAATAGCAATGAAGTCAAAGCTCAACAGATATGTGTCGGTAACAATGGTGTGCATGTTTCCCACCTCTCCAGGACAACTTTGCTGAAGTAATCCTTATTCACGCTCTCAGTCATCAGCACCTGCGCTGTATCTCCTCCCACATTAAAGTACCAGCGCAGCTTTGATCCTTCCAGCATCATTGCCATATAGTCTTTACTGGACTACAGTACACATTCAGCACAGACACGTGTGTTTATATTCACACATATATAATTAATCATGCGCAACTCAAAACAGCTTAATATAATAACACATGCAACATATCATAAAGCACAAAAGGTATAGGCTGAGGAAGTTGGCTTACGTCATTTTTTCCAAGGTAGAGGACAAACTGGGGATTGGTGGTAGTTTGGCGTAGTGTACGTGTGTCACGTGGTAGCTTGATGTACATGTGTAGCGATGAATAGGCTGCCAGGTCGGCTACATTACTGGGCATCCTCACTTGTACTCCTGAGTTACCATTAAACTGCATTGACACGCTCACCTGAAGAACAGACAGTCGAGTCATTGCCTAAAGCACCACTTCAATCTGGGAATTTTTGTATCTGGAAAACTGGGAATACTTTGCGGCTTCTGAAGAGCTGTACCTTGTTGGCAGCATTGCGAGCCTGTTCAATGAGCTGGCGGATTCTCTGGATGCTGTCGGAGATGTTGGACGGCTGAAATGAGGTGTTCTGTAGACGATCCAACTTCTCCATCAGCTGAGGAAGAGTGTCGCTCAGCGCCGCCACTGCAGGAACACAGAAACACATTGGACTTGATGTGAAAGCCACGTCGAGATCACACATGCTCACTCAGGAGAGCTCCCTCACACGCACCTGACGTATTGGCATCATTGAGAGCTCTGTTGATATCATCGCTGGTGGCGTTTGAGTCTCCGTACTGCTTCTGCCACTCCTCCAGCTGCTTCTGAATTGGAGCCAGCGCATTGCTAACATTAGCCACCGTGTTGTTAGCCTGCTCCACCACACTCTTAGCTGCTGCGATGTCGTTCGCTATGTCTTCTGCATCATTTCAACACATATTAACGACAATGTTTAGGTCATGGTTTCGATTCAATTAAGCTTGACAGACTCGAATATATACAATAGCATTTAAAAGTTTGCGGGCAGTCATTTTTTAAGTTAATTACTTTCATTCATTACATTTCATTTCATTTGATCATTAAACTGATCAAAAGTGACAGTAAAAACATTTATAAGGTTTTAAAAGATTTCTATTTCAAATAAATGTTCTGGGGACTTTGAGCTCTGACCTCGGCTGGCGTTGAGGCTATTTTGAATGTTCTTTAGGTCTTGGAGCATGTTCTCCTTTTTCTTTTCAGCATCCTGCAAACTTTTCTGTATGGAGTCCAAGCGTGGCTTTAGACCTGACAAAGATATAGTAAAGGCCTGCATTAGACCGAGGTTCACGCCAACAAAGATGTACCTTGAAAGAAGCATTAGTTTGCTTTTCTTACTTTGAGTGCTGTTATTCAGTTCCTCTGCTTGCTTCACAAGCTCAATACTCTGATTCTTCAGTTTAGCAGCTTGTAGGGGCAGGTCTGTGTCCTTTATGTTCTAGATCATATAAAGAAACAATAAAAACTCAATTTGTGTCACTTACACATGCATTGATAAAGGTGCCCAGATGCACAGATGACGGAGTGTGTGGTTGACTGTACCTCCAAAGCCTCAGTAGCAGATTCATTGGCTTTCTTAGCTGCAGTCTCAGCTTCCAGCACGCTGTTTATAATGTTAGTGTATGCGCGAGATGCATTCAGAGCACGCTGTATGAAACTGTCTTGATTGGAGCCAGATATTAGACTGCACAACAACAAACACAAGGCCATGATGTTACATATAAAGATACATTTATCATAATATATTATCATTGAATTATCATTGTATATGAAATTTTATATAAATAAAATTGCTTTGCTAATTGCATTTTGTTGTGTACAATAATTACATAAATATTGTGTAAAATATTTGTTAAATCAGCAATTTTGTGGATCCCTCATTTGCTGCCCTTTAATTATGTACACTGGAATACATTGGCCATCAGTCACCCTGCTATCTAGCATCAGAATCACTCATTAAAAAGACAATTTAAAGCTGCAGTCCTTAACTTTTTTTGGTTAAAAATGATCCGAAATCAATATTTGAGCAAGTACATAACCAGCCAGTGTTCAAAACTATGGCCTTACTTTAGCCTGATTCACAACGGTTAGCTTAAAATAATGTTTTCTAATTTGAGTGGTACGGGTAGGTTTTCGCGGGAAATTCGAGCATGGCACTGCGTCATTACGAAGTGACATAAAGAAGTTGTCCACCGCGCCGACTCACAACCCATGCAAGCTAGATAATTCCGCACACTGCTGCAATTCCAGGTTTTCAAACAGAGATGGCGACAAAGAGGCAAAACTTACGGACTGCAGCTTCAAGTTGAGCACTACAAAATAGTCAGGCACCTGGAAAGATTATTGGCGAGCTGGTCCAGCATTTCAGCGTGTTTCTCTGCAGCCTCCACCAGGGGAATTTTATTGGCGGAAGGAGCGTATTTCTGCACCTTCTCGGCTAGAGGCTGCCTCGCTCCATCCAACTGAGCAGCCAGACGCTCGTAGTCCTGATAGAGACGACACATCATCCAGAGACAGCATGCATGAGTCCGAGTATGTGCTCATTTACAGTACACAGAAATTTTATATTTGATTCTGCATACACAAGCATACCGCTCCTGTGTATCTGTACCTCTTTGGAGTCCTGAAGCATGGAGAGCAGCTCGTTGACCTGGGTCACATCATCCACGGCCATTTGAAGCTGGTTCTCCACCTCCTTCTGCTTCTTAAGCAGGTTATTCACTATGTTCTAGAAAAACACATCAGATCAATTTACTTCTTCACATTCTTCACAATTCCTCTTCCAACTCAAATCCCAATTCAACTTTCTTTGATGTGCTGTCAATTGAACTCTAATTCAAACTCTTAAATGTGGTATTTTGTTCCAATCCTGTGTATGTGCATGTGTTTGTATAAATACCTGCAACTCCTCCATGCATTTCTGGTTAATATTGTTGGCCTCTACGGTGTTTGCTGTGTTTTTGACGGCATCATTCATAGCGTCTCTCAGGTCCATCAGCTGCTGATTGAACTGGTTCAGTTTGTTTCTAATGTTCTCTGCCACAGCCTCATTATTCAGTGTCCGGTTTGCAATCTCATTTTTCACACGACCTATCACTATAGAGAGACAACAGCTGTAAAGGACAAGGTCTACCATCTTAAACACAGAAAAAAACATGCAGCACTTATAAATCTTATTTTTATTTATAATAGATTTTTGTTCCTTTTTGTATAAAGTATTATAACAGTGGTTATATTTATTTGTGAGATCATATAATGCATTATAATGTGCATTACAAAGCAAAGTGAATGCATTAAAATACTTTTATAGTTCTATACAGTACAGTATAAAGGCTTTTAACCTTTTCCAATCCAAAATCAAGTATTTATAAAGGGTTATAAGCTTAGGTCCCATGCTGTTACACAATAAAATGAAAAAGGCTGAGGTTGGTGAGCATTTCTTAGAGACTCTGTCTGTCCTGTCACTCACACTTGTTGGCCTGGTCCAGCTCATTTTCTGCTAGTTTCTTCTGGAGGTCGAAGCCCCTGAAGCGCATGTCTCTGAGCATGGACTCCACCTCTGCTATATTCCGAGCCAGCTCCTTTTCATCGATCACCTTGGTCTCGTTCTGTGCTGTCCGGTTCACCTGCAGTATAATGTCTGAGCAGAAGCAGAAATGTTGTCAGCTGAATGTGGCTGTAAAGTTTAAGTATAAAGGGTGAATGCAATGAGACAAAGCTTTTTTTTTCTTTGTCGCACTCTTACCTTGCACATCTCCCATGATGCCTTTGATGAATTCAAGCAGGAAATCTTATTTTTATTTATAATAGATTATTAAAGTATTATAACAGTGGTTATATTTATTTGTGAGATCATATAATGCATTATAATGTGCATTACAAAGCAAAGTGAATGCATTAAAATACTTTTATAGTTCTATACAGTACAGTATAAAGGCTTTTAACCTTTTCCAATCCAAAATCAAGTATTTATAAAGGGTTATAAGCTTAGGTCCCATGCTGTTACACAATAAAATGAAAAAGGCTGAGGTTGGTGAGCATTTCTTAGAGACTCTGTCTGTCCTGTCACTCACACTTGTTGGCCTGGTCCAGCTCATTTTCTGCTAGTTTCTTCTGGAGGTCGAAGCCCCTGAAGCGCATGTCTCTGAGCATGGACTCCACCTCTGCTATATTCCGAGCCAGCTCCTTTTCATCGATCACCTTGGTCTCGTTCTGTGCTGTCCGGTTCACCTGCAGTATAATGTCTGAGCAGAAGCAGAAATGTTGTCAGCTGAATGTGGCTGTAAAGTTTAAGTATAAAGGGTGAATGCAATGAGACAAAGCTTTTTTTTTCTTTGTCGCACTCTTACCTTGCACATCTCCCATGATGCCTTTGATGAATTCAAGCAGGTCTTGTGCTCTAGTGTGTGTGGAGTTAGTGTTGTCCTCTAAAGCATCGCCTTTCTTTTGTGTGACTGAGGCCTAAAACACAGACACCCAATAAAAATGTTAGTCAATATCGTCAAATGGTCCCTTTTAGACACTGACCGTTAGAAAACAACAACAAATGGATATTTAATCAGAATGAGTTCATCTAATGATATGTTCTCATACCTTCTCCTCTAACTCTTTAATATCCAAGTCGATGATTTGCAGCTCTCCCTCCAGCATATTGGCCTGGTTCCTGCTCTTGTCCAAAGTGCTGTTGTAGTTTTTTATGGCATTCTGGGGCATATTATAATATATAATACTAAAAGTTAAAGTGAGGCAAATAGTAAAATCTAAAAGTCCTAATACAGAGTCAGAGAGTGTTTGTGTGTGTGAGAGAGAGAGAGACTCACAGCAATGTCCTGAATGGACACGTTGAGGCGGTTTAGTTGAGCCCAGGCCATTGAGCTGGCATTGAGGCTGGTCAGCTGATCGGCAATGGACTGATAACGTTCGTTTACTTTGTCCAGATCCTCCAGTAGCACTATCACACAGCTGTCACAGGCTAAAAACATAATGCACAACATCATCATCTGATGTATGAAATGAACTGCAACCCGCAAAAAAATATTGTTCACTTTACCTTTGTATTGACAGAGTGATTGAATGAATTAATGAGTGAGTAAATTAATTATCGACTCAACGGATCATTCAGTTATTAAGTGAGTGTATATATACTACAGTCAAAAATTTGGTAAAATGTAATGCTTTTGAACATTGTTTTTGTTTCTGTGAATGTTCTTATGCTCACCAAGTCTGCATTTATTTGATCAAAAATATTGCAAATGCAATATTGTGAAATATTACTACAATTTTAAATAACTGTTTTCGATTTTAATATATTATAAAATGTCATTTATTCCTGAGATGTAAAGCTGAACTTTCAGCATCATTAGTCTTCAGAGTCACATGATCCTTCAGAAATTATTCTAATATGCTGATTTGCTGCTCAAGAAAGATTTAATATTATTATCAGTGTTGAAAACAGTTTTTGTGGAAACTCACACTTCTTTTTAGGCTTAAATGTTCAAAAGAACAGCATTTATTTGAAACAGAAATCTTTAACATTATAAATGCATTTACTGTCACTTTTGATCAATTTAATGCATCTATATGAATAAAAGTATTAATTTCTTTTACACACACACACACAAAAATCTGACCCCAAATGTTTGAACGGTAGTGTATCTGATAACAAATGAGTGAGCAAATGGATGAATAAATGAATCAATTAGCGAATGAATGAATCAGTAAGTAAAGATGAAAGAATGAATGAAGTGTGTCCGGTGAAGCAGTACTCACGCTGACAGTGCACATCTGCTTCATGAAGCACAGGGACGCTGTATTTATAAAGACACGTGTCACACTGCTTCCCTGTCAGACCTGCTGCACAATGGCACTCTCCTGTGCGAGGGTCACAGCGGCCTCCTCTACACTCACACTCTACAGACCACACACAAATACATCAATAAATTCAACTCATAATACATCACATTCCCTCCTGCAGTGTGTACGTGTGTGTTTGACTCACTCTTGCAGCCATTAGGGCTGTAGCCCCAGTAACCTGGAGCACACTGGCGGCAGTTCGGTCCATTAACCCCAGGCTGACAGGCACATGAGCCGTTAACAGGGTCACATGGCTGAATCAATGCCGCTGCTGCATCACAATCACACTTATGGCAACCAGTGCAGGAATCAAAGCCAAATGCCCCATCCTAAACAAACAAACAAAAAAAAACACTATTACCATCAACCTCCGAGACTAAACAACAGATGAAGACAAAACAGATGAAGAGACATACCTCACAGCGGTCACAGTGGGCTCCCACCACACCAGGCTTACAGTGGCACTGTCCCGTGTGAGGGTCACAATGTGCAGTGCCACAAGGAGAACAGTTGCATCCTGGGTAATGCAGGTGGGAAATAACACAATCATGAAAACTCTTTGAATACAGGAAATGCCGTCCAGACTGCATAAACAGAATTTTTTCCAACTGTGTATAAAAGTTGTCTTACGAGTGCAATTCTTGGCAGTGATGGCATCACCGTAGAAACCCGGGGCACAGATTTCACAGTGCGGTCCGGCGGAGTTTTGCATGCAGCTCTGACACTCGCCCGTCAAAGGGTGGCAGTCGCTGAACAGCATGTTGGGGTCTGAGTTTCCATTGCAGTTGCACGGCTGGCATGTGCTGCCAATCACCATTGGGTTTCCATAGTAACCTGGTGCACACCTGTATTAGGTAAAAAAAAAATAAAACAAATTTTTTTTACAAAGTACTTTTTTTATTGATATATATAATTTTCGAATTGACAGTAATTAATTATTTATAAATAATAATAATAATATTTTATCATGTATAAATGCATCATTTGTTTTAATTTAATATAAAAATGATAACTGATAAATTTTAATTATTTAATTTAATTTGACTGCATTTTTATTTGTATTTATTATTATGACAAATAATAATAAATTTTAAAAAATTATACACATTTTTACTGATCAATAATAAACTGTGATTAAATAACAGTAAGTGGATGCTTCATAACGGTACCTTTCACACTTAGATCCAGCATAGCCAGGCCTACATAAACACTGCATATGATTGGGCTTCTCCACACAGCGAATGGCAAAACTGATAAGATCAAACAGACAACATCCTTTAATTTGAGAATGAGGCATGCTGGGATATCCAGCTCTTACTGGGAGTAAAAGCAGAAGCCAGAAAAGCAACCAGGAAGAAAAAATCCACTGGCAAATTTCAAGCAAATCAACAAAAGAAAAAAGACGAACAGGAAACAGTAAATTAGTGGTACAGATGATGAAATAAGACAAACTGACTTGTTTGAAGCCACTTGCAGAGGGCAGGGGCAGCTAGAGCAGGACACCGCATGGCCATCAACAGTGTTGTTACCATGAAAGCCGCCCTGGCACTGCTCACAATGATTTCCAGCGGTATTGTGGCGGCAGTTCTGCATATGAGGAGTTAAAACTTAAACCAGGAAGAAAAGACGAACAGGAAACAGTAAATTAGTGGTACAGATGATGAAATAAGACAAACTGACTTGTTTGAAGCCACTTGCAGAGGGCAGGGGCAGCTAGAGCAGGACACCGCATGGCCATCAACAGTGTTGTTACCATGAAAGCCGCCCTGGCACTGCTCACAATGATTTCCAGCGGTATTGTGGTGGCAGTTCTGCATATGAGGAGTTAAAACTTTTAGTTGGAACTTTGAGAGGTCTTTCCCAGGATCTTAAACCTTAATTAGATTTATGATTTTGCTTTCTATACCCAGTGGAATCTACAATAGCAATATACTGCCCATATTTAAGTCTGTTTGTGATTTATATATGACTTAGTGAGACAGACTCACCACACATATGCCAGAGCCATCCAAACACTCATCAGAGTGACCGTTACAGTTACAGGGGACACACTTCCCGAGAAACAGCCCTTTAGTGTCTCTGTAGTATCCTGGAGCACATTTCTGAGTGAAGGAGATGAAGGAATGAACATGTTAACAATACCAGAACCCAGTCTGAACAACTGCACGGTATTCCTTAATAATGACTTGTTTTGCATCAATCTGCATTTCTGATTGGATGGGTAATAAAATGTAATAAATAAAAAATACCAAATAAACTTTCTGTATGCATGGTGTGTGAATTGCTAGTATTCTTTTACTCCCCAAATGTAATTAATGGCACAATTTGCCACAGGGCACAACTTGACATCCTATTAATTTTTTGAAACAATAAAACCTCTTTTTCGGAGAGAGATGTTAGATTAATCACTATTTAACATCAAATGTAACATAAGCATGTTAATAGTAGCTATTTTTGTCTATTTCTAGTTATGTCTGATTTCATTAATGTTTATTTACTTTTATGTTGTTTGTCAATATTTATTGCTGGGAGTTTGATTGACAGGCGATCTGACCAATCATAACGGCGAATCTGCCATTTTGTCAGACAAACAAACCAGAGAGTAGAATGACGCGGTGGACTTGAACTTGAAAAATGGTGTGTATTTACGTCTTTCTGCAGTTGAAACAAGAAACCTTCTGATGTTCATTCATGTTTATTTCGTGCTATAACTAGTGAAGAGGAAGAGATGATCGGTTCACGTGCCGCTTGAACTGAGGCATTACAGCGATCTGTCACGACACATTAAAGAGCCACAAAACACTATTTATTGTTTGAATTTCCTAAAAATGACAAGATTTGAAAGCTGAGACTTTGTTTCATAACAAAAGTATGTAAGCCACGGCTTGTTGGACATAGCAACAGTAACTAATTTTGTATATTTTGATTGTATTTTTTTATACAGTTTACCCTTCACAAAGCCTTTTTATTAACCAGGCAAATTGATTTAATGGCATTTTGACAAGTCCTGTTCATGCAGGGCCTCTAAAGAAGAAGAGGCATTAAATTATAGCATAGAAGTAATTATATAAAATAATTAGTTTTTGTTAAAGCACACTACCTGACAAGAGTCTCCTAGATAGTATCCTGGGCAGAGACAAATTTCAACGTTGTTGGCATGGCGACCGGAGGGCAGGTTGTCGGCCCCCTCCAGCACCGCAGCACGCAGCGACACAGACTGGGCAGACTGAGAGTGCAGCGCTCTGATCTGCAGTGACTCCAGCGCCACCAACACCATCATCAGCTCCTCACGGGACACAGAGTTTCCCGTCTGTGCATGCCTGAAACTGTCCTGCAATGAGAAAGAGCACACTTGAATTGCAACAATTGTGCATTTGCGGAATTATTTTGTACAATTCTGTTTTTTTTTTCATATTCTTTTCTTTTTTAGAGTTGGGTACTAAGTTCCTCACCTCCACCAGATGGACGATCCCCTCATGAGGGTCTTCAGGAGAGGAATACTCTCTTTCCATGTACACCAGAGTCATCTGATTCCCCTGCACACAAAGACTTTCAGTTAGGCCTCAAGTAAAAACTCTTGGTAAACTTGACAGAAGGAGACTGTAGTACCTTGAGTATAACGTCAGGCCGTGTGGTCTCAATGATCAGAAAAGCATCACCTCTCATCGTCTGGGTATGCAAGCGGTAGCGCAGGTAGCCTCCATACGATGACACCTACACAGATGCATAGAAAAGAAAACACAAAATCAGCTTAAGACAAGATTTCTCAAGCAACTAAGCTGGTGCTAACATTTGGCACCAGCCTAAACAAGGTGTGCTTGAGTTATCAGATTGTTTGTCTGGCCCTCATGTTACCCGTAGCATTAATGTGAGCTATCTGATGGAGATTCAGTTCAGCTGTCTGTCTGGCCCCTTACTGTCTGACCGCCGGCTAACCCATAAGCTTGGTTGAAACTTATGTCACAGCAGCTGCCATGTCGTCATAATAAGACTCACATAAAGTCTAGGTGTAGAAGATCAGAGCACAGAAATGCTCTTCACGACTCTGGTTGAGTGACATGCTTGTGAATATCACAGATTGTTGTGGACTCACTTTATCGCCGAGGTAAGCGCGAGGAGCGTGCCAGTGGAGGTCCTGTGAGACATCAGGTACGTCACTCAGATCAGCCTCCACCAGATCTTGATCGAGATACGTGGACACAGGAACTTCCTGTCTGTCACTTCTCAATAGCACCCAGCCAGCCATGTCCATGAACTGTAGGTGGGCAGATGAAAGCAAAGGTATAAGTTCAATGTTATAGCAGTCGGTATTTACACTGAATTAATTTTCACAGACATCCAGTACACAAAAGTTCACTGAAAAGAGCGATAACCTGCAGTTCGAGCGAGTCAGGTGTTGATTTTGTACTGTAACCGCTCTGAATGATTCAGTGATTTTTTTCAGTGAAAGATTTGTAATGAGTCTTTTTCAATGATTCGTTAAGAGAGCCAGCTCACAAGGGTCATCAGACTACACTGCTGTATGCTTGTTTTTGCGTGTAGCCTGTGATGACAACTCAACAGAAAGATGGTAAAATATGATTCCTATGATATTGTACTGTCTGGATATTCAACGCCACAGGAAACACTGGACGTACCATGATAAAAATATCAAAAATGCATACCAGTTGACAAATCTTTATAGGTTTATTTTGGTAACTGGTACACTGCCACAAACTGCATACATTTTATGGACAGATAAGAATAGGTAAGCTCAATATCTCCATAAGACACTTTCTATTGCATTTAAACCATTCAAGTTTAAGAAGAGGAATCAAGTTTAGGTTTTTCAATGAATGCTTTTATTCAACAAGCATTCAATTGATCAAAAGTGGTAGTTAAGACTTTTATAATACTATAAAAAAATTCTACTTCAAATAAATGCTGTTCTTTTGAACTTCCAAATCATCAAAATAACTTGGGGAAAAAAGTTTCACAATTTCCACAGAAATATGAAGCAGCACAACTGTTTTCAACATTGATAATAATAATAAATGTTTCTCAAGCAGCAAATCAGCATATTAGAATGATTTCTGAAGGATCATGTGACACTGAAGACTGGAGTAATGATGCTGAAAATCAGCTTTGCATCACAGGAACAAACTACATTTTAAAACATACTCAAATAGAAAACAAACATTAAAAAATCTTACCAATCCCAAACTGTAATGTATATGCGTTTGTATAAAGGTGTATTTCTTTATTTATTAAACAACAGGTCTTTAGCTGCAGTACAGTACCTCACTCCTCCGTTTGTCAGAGCTGTGGCAGCGGTCAGTGGCTCCAAAGCAGAAGCACTTGGTGCAGCCTTTAGCATTAGTGGGGTCCAAATGGAACGTTCCCAGTTTGCACTGGTCACAGCGAGAGCCTTCCACATTTTCCTGAGAGAAACAACACATCACTGATATAACACAGATGATGAGTCCTGAATGTTTTGAGTGAAAAATTATATATACATATTCTCATACAATAAAAGAGGGGCAGAAGGAGAGGTATATTCTCATACAATAAGAGAGGGGCAGAAGGAGAGAAAGAGTCACCTTGCACAAACAGCGTCCGGTGATGTAGTCACAGACATCAATCTCAGTTCCTGCCTCGCTGCAGTCACATGGTCTGCAGTTGGGGTATCCATAGAAACCTGGGGCACACCTGTCACACTGACGGCCAACAATGTTGTTCCTGCACCTGAGGAGGGAGTAATGTGCTTTAGAATGATGCAAATAACATGAAGTATGTATTATGTGTTTTCAGTGTCAGCTGATGCTCTAGGATGATGAGATGCCTGTAGCAGTGCTCCTATCATGTCTCGACAAAACCAAAACCACCATCCTCAATGGATGATGCATGAGCAGTTATAATTTATGATATTCTCTCTAAGTGCAGAGATGGTGGAGAGATTGTGCAGCTCACAGTCACAGCAGCTCAAATCCCGCTTCCTTGTGGATTTTAAACACTGCCTAATGAGGGGACGGTGCGGCCAGTAGACTGAACTAAAATCTCCTAAAAATAAATACCTCTGGAATTCCTGCACTTAATCCTTATATAGGCAGTATTGTTTTAACCAGAGACAGCGGTTAATAATATCAGTCCTTCAGGCAGCGCTTCACAGAAAAAAGTTTGGCTCAGGCGTAAAAAGGTCAGTTGTAAACACTTGTTAATTCCATTCTAATTCAAACGAGCTGACTTCAAACACCAAACACGTTAAGTTTCACAAATCTCAAGAACTTGTCCATGGCATATTTCACCCCAAAATCAAAAGAACAAATTACAATGGTTATATTTTCCATTGAAAAAGAACAACTGCACACTCACTTAAGCATTGGCTATTTTTCAATCAACATTTGTGTGCAGTTGTTCTTTTTTTTAATCAAAGTTTCGGCTAGTAGCCTTTGTCAAGGTACCTTGACAAAGGCTACTAGCCGAAACGTTGATTAAAAAATAGCCAATGCTTAAGTGAGTGTGAAGTTGTTCTTTTTCAATTAAGTATTTTTTCCTTCAATTTGTACCTCCACAGGTGTGCGTTTGCTTTGCCTCACTTGCTATATTTTCCATTGAACCATTGTTTTTTATATATAAAAAGAAGCACATTTCCCCCTGATTTAAAATTTTCTTGTTCACTAGTTCATATGGTTAAAACAGTTTGCCATGCTGACTATAAATGAAATTCGTCTTAAGCTCTAATTTCTAAATGAAATTCATCTTAAGCTCTAAGATCCCCCCTGGACAACTTGACAAAAGGAAGCTACATATATCAATGGATAGAGAACAGTGTTATTAACTAAAACTAAGATTAAAAATAAGACTTCTAAAAAACGTTAAATTAAATTAAATTAAATTAAATTAAATTAAAAATTAAATTAAAGCTGACATCAAAAAATGTAAATATTAGACTAACAACTTAATTTGAAAAGTTGCCTTGGAAACTAACTGAAATAAAAAAGGTTAAGTTGAAGTATTAAAATTATTAAAACTAAAACATAAATATAGATTAAAGCTAAAAAGAAATATAGCTAATGAAGCTAATTCAAATATATTGTTTTTATTTATTTATTTGGAAAGAGACCATGTACAATTTTTTATTGTATTTATATTAATAAACACTATAACAGCAAATAAAAAATAGTAGAATAACACTGATAGAGAATTAATGATGAAGAAATAATATGATGTCAGAAGAACTGTCACAGGAATGAGGTATAAGGACGCATATACTACATCCTTGAGACATGATTGTGGAAAAAGTGCTTAACTGCCACAAACAAAAAAGTAAAAATAAAAATCATGATGGTCCTAAAATGGTCCTAAAATGGTCCTTGATGGGCCAAAAAGGCTTCAATTTGTTCATACAAAATATAATTTCTTATTTTTTTTCTATTTATTTAAATTTTCCTATTTATTTATTTATTTAAGTAAAAAAAAAACTGGCATTCCTGAGGTAAACTGAGGCAAATTTTAAACCACATATTCATTCAGATTCTTAGAAAGTCGACCCCATGAGCCACTGCATGCAGTATATATGCGTGTGTGTGTCTTGCTTGACTGTACCTGCACTGGCCGTTGTGTGTGTCACAGCCGATTTCCAGTGAAGCCACTCCAGGCCTGGAGCAGTTGCACATCTCACACCCCACCAGAGGATGGCAGGCAAACGTCTGGGGTTCACAGGTGACACAGTCGGGCTGCAGAGTCCGTGGAGGACAGATGCACTCACCCGTCACAGGCTCACACAGACGAGTGCCACAGTTACATGCTAGAGAGAAAAGGAAACAAAATCATCCATCAATCCATCCATCCATCAATCAATCCATCGTTCCACCATGTGGTTGGTGATACTCACGTCTACAGTTGGGGAAGCCGTAGTATCCCGTGGCACACTGGGAACAGTCTCGGCCAATCATGTTGGGTCTGCACTTGCACTGTCCTCCGAAGGTCTCGCAGGTATCGCTCTCTGCACCCACCTCATGACAGCCGCAGGGCACAGCGCCGTTATTGAAGAACGCAGACAGAGACACGGCGGAGTTACGACAGAACGGAGATGCTGTGGATGGGCTGAGAGGACAGAGGGAATGTTAAGATGGATGGCACTCTAATAATGTTATATCGGGATACGTTTATGCAAAATATATTCGCACCATATTATCAGCCATATTAGAGATTTCTTTAATTTAATGGAATCAGCAATTGTTGCATATTTAATTGTGTGTAATTTACATTTTTACATTTAAGGTTTTTATTAATGAATTTATTTAATTGTTTTTATTAAACTTAAACTTAAACTTTAATACTTTGAAAGCACTAATATTTCAATAACACTTCAACGTGATCTTTAGCAAATATTAAATTAAATATCATACTATACATTACAAAATAAAATTTTCATACTGTACATTATGTTTTGATGTAAAGTGCTTTTTAGTATTATTAGTATCGTTTTAATATTATTTCTATACTATTATAGTATTTAGTACTATTAGTATTTTTATATTTTCAGTTTTCTTTTTAAATTTAAGTTTTAATAATTTTGTTAGTGCTTTTGTTATTTTTTATTATTATTTTTAATATTTCTATCAAGCTTTAATTTAGTTTTATTTAAGTTTTAGTTTTAGTACTTAAACTAGTATCCAAGGAAACATTTCTAATTTTCGTTTTTTAAGCATAAGCTTTTCATCTAATATGTATATTTTATATTATTTCAGCTTTATTTCAATCACCGAAAACAATTTTTAATAGTTTTACCTAAGTAAAAATAATTAAAAAAATTTAAATAATGCTGTGTATGTGTTTTAAGTGTTTCATTTTTATATTTATTTAGTCACAATTGGACTGAATTTTAATCAGTAATTAATATCTGCGATGTATTTACTTATTTATGGCCTATTTAAGGCCATTACATGAATATAATTATCACCCTGAATTTTCAAATCATGCATTCCTACATTTTTACAAATGTATAAGTATCATACTTGATGTAAAAGCTGTTTTGTCCACAGTTGCTGATAAAGTCGTAAGATTTGTCCAGTGGCTCCTCAGTCAAAAAGCTGGAGCTGTAAGTGCTCTCTGGCACCACCAGCACATAGTCCTAAAACACACAAGAGAAAAAGAAGTGTCACTGTTATTGTCAATTCATTTCACCTTTAGTAAAACGTCATCATGACACTCACCAGCCACAATGTCTTCCTGTCTGGAACACGCAGGGTCAGGATGACCTCATAGTCCGTCACGTCCAGGATAATCTGGTTCTCTGACATGACAACACCACGACAACCGTAACCATGGGGACAAAAGGATGCATTGACGTGGCCTGGAGTACAAAGAGTGACTGTTAGTAAAAAAGCATTTTCAGTGATAAAACAGAAGCTCAAGTCAATAGTGAGTCTGTGTTCATCTATTTGCTCACCCTGCCATATGCGTCCTCCATTGATGTGGACCTGGACGTTGTAAGTTGGGTGCAGGGGCTGATGGTAATGCAGGATGAACCCATAACGGCCCAGCGCATGTACACGTGTTGAATACGTTACAGCGTTCTGGGAAAGGAAGCAGACAAATGAACATCAGAAGACTTGCAGACATGCTTTTGTATTAGCATTTAAGTATCAGAAAGATACAAACTTCAAGACAGGGGCACTGGATGGATAAATGGAGGGGGAAAGGTTCTTTTAAAGGAAGAAACAGTAAGAAAGCAATGAGAGTGTAATGGGCCTGATGTACCTGATTAGGGTCCAGAAGCATGTGTTCACTGTTATCAGCAGCGGTTGGCGGTCTGGAGGTCATGGGCCTGTCTGCATGCAGGGATGGATCAGGGGCTGAAGCTATAATCGAACCCGGCACAGAAGAAGCCTGACCCTCTTTTAGGACCAGAGACTGAGGAGGATTCTGGAAACGAGACGGGATGCAGGAGCCACTGGAAAACAGAGAATATAAAACATGAACATAAATAGGATAAACCCTATTGTGATAAATACATACGGATATACTTCACTTTGATACCTAAAATACCTAGAAATCATGTAAATGGCTCATGATCATAGGTACTTTTAATTGTAAATATGTAGGAAAGTCAAATGTCATAATTTGAAAAAAAAA